ACACCGCGTTTTGAGCACTTTCGATGATTTTATGTTAATCTTATCATGAAATCATGGCCCTCTTGACATATAGCGTAACACTCACTGACCACACTAATCATCACTTTAAAATATATATAATGAAAACAAATTACAAATAATATTAATATATCAATTAAGAGATTTTCTAATAAGTATTTAAGCTAATGATTTGTTACATATTTCTAATCTCGGCAGTTGAATTATATTTATTAAATATGTTAGTAGATTTAATATGCAACATGCATGCAATATAAAGTTTGAGATTAAAAATATGTAACCTATTCTTAACATAAAATACTTATTGAAAAATATACATATACGAACTTGATTTTACCAATTTACAAGTAAATGCATGGTGGACGGTTGACTTTTTTATTTTTACTTTTATTTTTTGGTAGACTAAAGTAAAGACCATGGTAATTACCTTAGGTTGGTCCACCATTTGGCTGATTATTTTGTCATTACTGCTACTATAGCCATAATTATAGTAAAATCGTTTTTTTTTTTTGTTTGTTTCAATGTAAACATAGCTGTGATGGGGTTCTGCCCACTACTTAAGTCAAAAGGTTGATGTGACTTTGCTAATGTGGAAACACACCGACCTCACGTGATATGTTTTGACCAAAGCACAGTAGCCCATCCAGTCCAATCCAAAAAATCTTTTCAAAATGTCATTAATTAAAAATATTGAGGTCAAACATTAGGATTGGTAATTAACCATAAATTTGTGTATGATTAACACCTTTATCAATGCTATTAATTATGACCCCTACAAGTCTACAAGATCTACACTTTGTTTTTGTTTTTAAATTTTTGTTTGGACATAAGTTTTTATTTTTATTTTATTATAGGAAACATCTTACTTCATTTAAGCAGAAAACAGTACATCGTCATCATCATGAAAAAATATTTTTTGTATTTTGAATGCATTTATTATTACATGGAAAATATTATATAAACTAGTGTAAATGTGCGTTTAAACTTCAAAGTTAAGGTAGTTTTGTTGTCCCTGAATTGAATTACACAATCCAATTTTAAATATTTTTCATATAGTTTGGTGGTATCTCTTTTATTATGAATTCATGAGTAATATTGTATGTGTCATCCCACTTCATTTTTTTCATCATTTAGAATAAAAAAATTCACGTAGACATGAACTTAGTCAAGTTGGTCAGAACGAATGTACTTCTCACTCTGAATTTGAGTTCGAATCCCCTAATATAAAAAAATAATTTAATAAAAACGTATCAAATTTAGAAGTAATTTTAAAAAAAAATGACTCATTGGGATAAGGAGTTAAATGTTTTCCATTAACAAATATGGAACAAAAAGAACCCACCAAATCTCTATGAATGGAGGGGGGCACAATCCAAAAACGTTGAGTATAAAATGATGAGTAATTTTCAGTGGGAGCATAGCAACCCCACCGTGGCAGAGCGAAGGCCGCAGACTTGGACAAGTTTACTTCTAAAGCTAGAACACATTGTATAGATTTTGGTACGGACGCATTTTAGGCAAGCTTGGTGCTGCTTTCTGCTTGGAATATTTACATGGGAAGACAAGGGCCCCATTTCTGCCATGCCATGAGGATTGAGGATTGAGGATTGAGGATTGAGCAAGGTGGCCACTGGCCAGCTTATAATCGTCGTATTGTATACATTGTTTGTCTTTTTTTCTTCCTTTTTTATTGCATCAAAATTACTGAATCATGACATCAGCATATAATAATGTTAAATTTAAATACAGTATAAAAGAAAGTACCCAAAAAATTACTGAATCATTTTGTTTTCTTATACAACCTGTACGATGTTATATTGGGAAGTGATTGTTTAAATTAAAGGGGATGAAGATTTTTCATGCACACATAACTAAGATGATATGGAAGTTTAAACTTAAATTTTTTTGCCTGCAAGTCAATACTCTTTATAACTAACTAGACTTCGTTGGCGTATAAAACAAAAAAAAATATTGACGACTCGATGCAACTTTGAAGAGATACTGATATTTCTCCAACTTTATCAAGAAACGAAGAGCATCCAATTCCCCTCAAGCTATCATAATCTAGATGTCAATGTCAACCCCATATAAATAAATATTTAAACGTAACGCTTCTTGTTTTTTTCTTTCTATTCACCGTTTGATTATGAGCTAAAGAGTTCAAAGTGCTCTTCCTTTCTTGTTTTGAATTTCTTTCTTCTAATTCAACAACACGACTTTCTTGACCAAAGAGTTGTTGGCAAAAAGTAAAAATGATGCCACACAAATTCAATTCGTATAGGACAAAAAACCAAGAAACGAAAGAGAAACTTGTGATCGTAGTTAGGAAAGGGGGTATTTCTTTTTCTTTATTTCTATTGGGTTCATAACTTACAATAGCAACATAAAATTTTAACCCATTAGATAACATGGTGATATGGTATGACATATGTAGCATAGATATATAAAATTTGGTAAATAAATTTGACCGCAATCAGATAACTAAATTTCTTATACAACTGATGATTTTAAAATAGACGGTTTTGACGATTAAAACTCATACACGTGACGATTAGAAAATCTTCATATGAAAATTCTCATATACCACAACGTAAAAAAATCACTATACATGGTTCACAACCTGTGAATAATTCCAAGCAACCCTAATAACCTAATCCGTCATGGACAGGATAGGGACGCCGACTCGCAGTTAATCCCTCAGTCCGTGACAAAGAAATAAAACGCGTCCTGTGCTATTTACGCTTACCTGACAACGCTTTCATTTACTGGTTTTTGTTTGTTTTTTGGCCCAAGCGTTTTTTAAACCCCCGTGGCTCATCAGTCTCTTCACTTCCGTGTTTTCGCTCCACCGCCACCACAAACAAACAAAACGCACAGCGCCAACGCCCGCTCACACTTGTGACTCGGGGCAATGATTCTCTGCGTTACGCACACATCTGTCATATCCCACCTGTCCGCCTTTGCCCAACACGTCATCGCTCCAGTCCCACCGACACAGAGAGACGCGGCAAAGCTGGCCCCACCCCTCACCTTCTGTTTTTTTCTTTTTACTTCCGAAATTGACTCCCTTGGATAATAATATTTTCCGAAATTTGCATGTGTCCCCAGTCATCCCCTCCATATATTTAAAAGAAGAAAAAACAAAAAGCCCATTAATTTATTTAAAGGGTTCAATCTCCTCTGGCAAGGTCCACAAGAGTACCTAATCCCGTGCCGCCACGTCACGAAATTGAAATGTGATTGGCTCATTAGAACCAAATTGGAGGAAGCGAAATTACCAATATCACCTTGAGGATGTGGTGGAATGTGGATTTTCCTTTAAAAGAGTGCATAGAAGAGAAGAGAAGAATTGCCCCATTTGTAGAGGGATTCCTTTTCCCTGATTCTCTGACCCAAATCATCCATTCTCACACCCAAGGCCGCACAAAACGTATCATTACCTGTCAAAGGGGGCTCACCCAATTAATTAATTAATTAATTAGTTATTTATTTATTTCTTACTTTATTATTCTTCATTTTTATTTATTTATTTACTGCTATGATTATGATTCTTAGCTAAATCTATGTTAAAGCAGTATTCGTCCCTTTAGCTTTTGGATGCTTGTACACCTTAACCCTGCCATAATTAAGGTTGAAAATCTGCCTTCAACTATGCCATTTTTAACCCCACAAAGCATTTCACGGCATAAACACAAGACTTGAACAGGGTAATTAAGATGCACTTTTTTATTTGGGGCAAAGTTAAAGGGAATGAAGATTTTCTCACATACATTGTCAAAGTGTCATGGAGATGCGGAAATGAGACTACTGGTCTGCAAATTAAGATATCTTTTTACTAGATTAGATCTTGTTCACATATTTGTTTCTATTTAGTATGCATTATTGATTTTTTTTAATACAAGTAATAATCTACTTTAAACTAATCTAAATTACATAGGGGAATTTGAACTCGGATGCAGAATGTGAAGTACATCCATTATAACTAACTTAACTAAGTTCATATCTGCAAAATACAATGAAGGTTTGTTTATCTATGTTGGTGTACAATATTAAATGAGTGGAGCTAGTGAGAACTGAAGCAAGTGCACAGGTTGGTATGAGTTATAAGATTGTTTAGAGATATTAGATAAATATTTGAGGGGGGCTAAGTGTCCCGCAAATCAGCGGCAAGTCAAAGTTTATTTTGTAGATCCATAAAACAATCTTATTATACTAAGGGTCACAGACTGCACAGATCGACCTTTGCACAGAGCCTACTACATAGACATGAGCCACAGAGGAGGTCAGCTAGTAAATTCATCCCTTTGCTTTCAAGAAAGAGAAATTCAATTCTTTGGAAGGTTGAGTGGGGACTCCTCCCAAAAAGCCCCATCCATTCCCTAGTCTTGAAACATTTTGAAGGCAAGGGTTTTTTTGGTAAAAAAAACATTTCTTTAATTTGAAAATTAGCTGTGTTTTCTCACAATAATTTTAAAAAGTGAAATCATATCTGTTTAATGTCTAAAAATTGATTCAACACAACAATTTAAATTTACTCACTGAAATCATAAGTCGTCTACTTTATAACTGTCATCCGAAAGAAAACTCACTTGTCACACGGTCATAAAATTTCGATGCTAATATTACATGTATGTAAAAAAGGAAGATAACCCTCTAAATTTGTCCCAAACTTTTCGCATACCGAACATCTCTCAAGTCCAAAGAGAAAGACTAGTGATGCCAAATTGTAGAGCGAAAATAGAGGGGAAGGAGAGGTCTCTTTCGTGGAAGACCATGTTGCCACACTCTTTGTGACATAAAATAATAAAGTGAGAATTTACAGCGGCGGTGCACTTCTGCATGGTAAGAAGACATAGCGTGTTCACTATGCATATAGTATCATATAACCCAGCATTTATTATGAACGATTATATAAAATAAATTAATATTTATACTTTCTCTCTACAGTCGTGTATATTTCTTTTTCATATTACATATCATACATAGTATTCAATTTTCACGAGCTCTGTCGTGATTGGATCGGTACAAAATCTCCTCACTCTCTCAACTCTCTCTCTCTCTCTCTCTCTCTCTCTCTCTCTCTAAGCTAAAGCATTGAGCAAAGTGGGAGGAAGAGACCCAAGTGAGATGTAATCGGAGTCTCACTGTAGAACAAGCGTTTGTGGCATAAGCAGACCAAGACAAGCAAGTCTAGCTATGGATTCATACTGATGTCCAAGAATTTCTTGGCTTTTCTTACTGTTTATTCCCTTTATCCATCACCTCTCCTCTGCTATTCCCCTAATTAAAAAGGTACTGTTTTGCTTCTGCTACTGCTTCTGACTTTTGCTACATTTGGCTCTATTGCAGTTTAAGTAACCACTATTTTTGGTTAAGTTGTGGATTGATCTCAAATGGGTTTTTCTCAACTTGTTTTTCTGGGTCTTTAGAAGTGAATTTTGAATAGAAATGAGCTTGCCCTTTTGTTACCAGTTCATTTGGGAACTGAAAGTGATCCAAAATTTTAAGTTTTTTGGTAAGGGAACTGATCCAAATCTTTAGTTATACCGAAATGCATATGCTTTAGTGTCCCTTTATTTCTGTAAATCTTAATTGCACTTTGTCTTCCTTTCTGGGTTTATTCTTTTCAATTGATTCTTAGTAAAGCATCTCCCTTTACTTTTTTAATTGATTGAATGTTGATAGGGTCTCTTGTTGCTGGGTTAATGGATCTAGTTAGGAAATGATCATGCTCAAGGATACCATTTTATCCTTTCCTCTACTTAAGCTTGTTGCGTAGAAATCAATCCTGGGTTTTATCGAATCTTTATGTTCAGCTCTTTTGAATGAAGTTTCGGCCTCACCAGAAAAAAGAAAGCTTTTTTTAATTTATTTTTTTTAATGAAGGATTATTCTCGTTTTGAAATTTTATTAGGATTTAAGTAAGAACGTCTTTGGGTTTCTGTCCTTTTTCACGTTTCAGCTTGTTTCTCTTTTGTTTGAGCTTTTCCTGGATTTCTTTTGCTTGTATACAGATTATTTTAATTTATTTTAATTTATTGAACAGATTCTTGCTCCCTGGTCTCCGTCAATTGAAATTAAGAATGTCCAGACCTCTGCATCGAGGTTCATCTGGGGCAGCGGGGGAACGGATCTCCGGGAGTAGCAATGATTTTTGGGACTCCCAAATGAAAGATAAAACAGATAAAGAAGATTTGGAAAGAAGAGCTTCTTCTGATAACAACAGTATTGCATTTAGGTTTCCTATTCGAGTACTTTTCCCAGATAATTCTCCTTCCAAACATGGAAATACTGGAAACGGCTTTGCATCTGATCCTTTAATAGCCAGTACTCCTAGAAGTCGGCACAAGTTAGCGCTGCTACTGTTGAAGTTAAGTTTAGTATTGATTGTTATTCTTGCTCTTACTGGATCCTTTTGGTGGACAATCTCCATCTCAACGACTTCAAGAGGTCGCGTATACCATGGTTATCGGCGACTCCAACAGCAACTTGTTTCCGACCTGTGGCATATTGGAGAGCTTTCTCTTGGTTCTTCAAGGTTGAGAGACTTGGAATTCTGTCCTCAGGAGTCTGAAAATCATGTTCCCTGCTTCAATGTTTCGGAGAATCTTGCCTTAGGTCTTTCTGATGGCAATGAATATGACCGGCATTGTGAGTATGGAATGAGGCAAAATTGTTTAGTTCTTCCACCTGTGAAGTACAAAATTCCTCTTAGGTGGCCAACTGGTAGAGATGTCATCTGGGTGGCAAATGTGAAAATAACTGCGCAGGAGGTACTTTCTTCTGGAAGCTTGACCAAGAGGTGAGCTACATTTCTCTTATTAGCCAACTGTGTTATAATTCTATTAACCTGTCCTGATCATGCTTTAATTTTGGATTTCCATGTACATACAGGATGATGATGTTGGAAGAAGAGCAAATTTCATTCCGTTCAGCCTCATTGATGTTTGATGGTGTTGAAGACTACTCTCATCAAATTGCAGAAATGATAGGGCTGAGAAATGAATCTAACTTTATACAAGCTGGGGTAAGTAGATTGCAATTGTTGGAACCGACCCCAAATGTTAATGGCAACATTCTTAACTCGTTTCTTTTTCTTGGTTGTCTTCCCTCTTGTGTAGTTTATTGCACTTATAACAGGTCTCTTTAGAATTTTAGCCAAGTGGTTGGCAACTTTTTTTTAGAGCATTTAATTATATTGAACAAGCAGGGGTCCTAGCCTAACCCCCAGTCCAAATGAAAGGTTTTTCAGTTTAAGATAACGAATCAACACACTCTTTTATTTGGTAGTTATAGTTACATGTTGATAAATATGTCAAATATCACCTCTGGCATGAAAACTGCAGCTCAGGTAATAAGCTGTCTGACCTGTTTCAAGGCATTTATGTTTTGCATTGCTAACTCCAAAAGAGAGTGAAAGTACTTTAAAACTCCGTAGGGTACTCTACCAAGTGTCTCTGGTGACTTTGGTGCCATTATATGTGTACATGTGCATACATACATACATACCACATAAATACAGATATACAGATATACGTCATATCCGTTGGTTTCTCTTGCATGATTGATCATTTACAGAAAGTCTTATATGATTCTGATTATTATGAAGACGATATAGCATAATATGGTTATATTATGATCACTTGTAGTATATTTTCTCTTTGATGTACTGCAACATGAATTTGTGCCATATGAATTGTATTATATAAACACTTTTGATGAATGAAAGTGTCAACTTTAATTCTGCAGGTGAGAACTATCTTGGATATAGGATGTGGTTATGGTAGTTTTGGAGCGCATCTCTTTTCCAGTCAGATCCTAACTATGTGCATTGCAAACTATGAGGCTTCAGGAAGCCAAGTTCAGCTAACTCTTGAAAGGGGTCTTCCTGCGATGATTGGTTCTTTTACTTCGAAACAGTTGCCATATCCATCCCTCTCTTTTGATATGTTGCATTGTGCACGATGTGGCATTGATTGGGACCAACGAGGTAATCAGTCAGAAGTTAATTATCACAAAGTGGTTCTTCTTTCTAGACTTCCATATATGCACATGTAATTGTGTATCTGCAAATACTCTGCATTATGTTGTGTTTGTTGTAAACTTATCCTGAAACCTATGTACATTTCAAGAACTGAAAGAAAACTATGTATCACAAATGTATAAAACCAAAAAATATCAATTTCTCTATTTTAAAGAATTTCCAGAAATATTAGTAGATCTTCATTCTTTAGAATATTTAGAATAATAGTTTATGGGTTACAAAGTTTTCCTGGGTGTGGCTGTATATTTTGTGAAGTATTATCTGACCATTAATATGGTAATTGGAAAAAAAGAAAGTTTAAATAAGAGAAAAAAGTTGATGTGATGCACAAACCTTAGTTTGCAGAATCTTAGAATCTGGACTGTGAATTTGAGCACCTTGGTTTTGCTTTAGTGGTTTTCTGGATTTGGATGGGTCCACGTTTAGTGTATGTTAATCATCTGTATAAAATGTTATGACGTACAGATGGGATCCTCTTGATTGAAGTTGATAGAGTTTTGAAGCCCGGTGGATACTTTGTCTGGACATCACCAATTACAAATGCTGAGACATTTCGTCGTAACAAAGTGAATCAGAAAAGGTGGAACCTTGTGCATGATTTTGCAGAAAATCTCTGCTGGGAGATGTTATCACAACAAGATGAAACAGTTGTATGGAAAAAGACCAGTAAAAGGAATTGTTATAGTTCGCGGTAAGGAAACTAACATGGTTTTTCTTCTCAACTTGGGATAATATGTGTTTGGTCTTTAGTGCACGAAAATAAGAGCTGATACTGATTTGTATTACAATCTGCTTATTCTTTAGGAAGCCTGGTTCAGGTCCCTCTATATGCAGCAAAGGCCATGACGTTGAATCTCCATATTATCGACCACTCCAAGCCTGTATTGGGGGAACACAAAGCCGCCGATGGATTCCTATTGAAGAGAGGACAACCTGGCCTTCAAGGGCTAATCCAAACAAGAGTGAACTTGCAATATATGGTACTTCTTGTGTTCTTGATACAGCTTAGAGCGGAAAAATAAATGCATTATTTGCTTAGCCTCTGACTTATCTATGTATCTCTTACTTTATTTTTGGTGAAAATCATATGCTTTATGTATGTGTTATAATTTTCATTCAGGATTGCACCCAGAAGAACTCTCTGAGGATGCCGAGACCTGGAAAATGGCAGTCCGTAATTATTGGTCTCTTCTGTCACCATTGATATTCTCAGATCATCCAAAGAGACCCGGCGATGAGGATCCTTCACCACCCTATAACATGCTTAGAAACGTACTTGACATGAATGCTCATTTTGGTGGTTTTAATTCTGCATTATTGGAAGCTGGAAAATCTGTGTGGGTCATGAATGTGGTCCCGTCAAATGGACCCAATTATTTGCCCTTGATCCTTGACAGGGGATTTGTCGGTGTTCTGCATGATTGGTAAAACTACTTTTGTCTTTGCATCCTCCTTGTCTTGCATCATGTTGTCTTACAGTTACCATTTATGTACTAACATCTTGTTTGACTTGGAATCTCAAACTTAACCAAATTTCATCTGCAAAAAGTACCATATCAACTTAATTTGTTTTGCTTGCTATCCCAAGTCTTGTCGCTATTGGATTTTTGTATTTTTTAACTTAAACATTCATGAAGGAGAGAAAGTAGATTCGTACCCTAACTAGGGATTTTTTTGGCCTTCATGTTTCACAGTCAGCTGGTGCTCCTTCCCTTGGTTGATCAGTGGGGTAAACCAAACAGGAATTTTGTATTATAAAAATGACCTCAAGCTTCTTAAATTAGGCTGACTTTACGGATCTGATGGTTGAATTCTTGATGGGGGAATTCATACTTCATTTTACTTGGTTAGCTGCCAAATTAGAAAACTCTGGTTAAAATTTCATTGGGCAGGACAGTATTAGAACAGCCTTGCCATTTGGAATAATTCAGCATTAGAACAATTTTGTAACTTGGGTAAATAACTTGAAGAAATAAGTAGCAATGCATGCTAAGGGATTTCATCATACATTTGGTTTGTGAAAGGATACTTGTAACTATTGAATTTATAGTTGTTTTAATACTACTTTTTCTCTTTTTCAGGTGTGAACCCTTTCCAACATACCCAAGAACCTATGATCTGGTGCATGCAGCAGGACTTCTTTCCCTTGAAGTTGATCATCAGCGCAGATGTACCATTCTGGATCTATTCACTGAGATTGATCGATTGCTTCGTCCAGAGGTACGCACACATACTAAACGGTTCTATTTTATCTATGGTTATTTTGCAAGGGTCCTTTTTGTTCCAATTCCATTCGATGGCTTTGAATGTTCAGAAGAACTAGTCAGACATGCACTAATTAATTTCTGGATGTTGATTATCATGCAAGATTACAGAGCATATTATAATTTTCAATTTAAAAATCAATTTACTATCGGAGCATTCTGTTGTGCCCAGAATATGTTATTTGTTGCATTGAATGGCTTTTTGCATGCAAGATTGAATTGGTTGCCATGCAAGTTTGTATGTCACGGTTATATTATTGGTATTTTTACCATTTAAAGAAGATGTAAGTTTTCAAAAAATTTAAGTTTGTGGCAAGGACCATGTGGGTGGTCTTTTGTACATCCATAAAAATCATGTGTCTGCTGCATATATGGTACTGTGTAACTGTTCCACTTTTAATGACTCAAGGAAGAAAAATAAAACTCTCATTTGGTTTTGGCTATGTTTTGGTGATACTAATACTGGCTGTTGGTTTTGTCTGTGTTTTAGTTAAGTGCGGTTTCTTTTCCACGCTGGCTATTTGCCCTTAGAACGAGGATAAGTAAATTGTAGACTCATAGAGGAAATGCTTTTTAAGCCTTTTATAGACACATCAGTTCTTATAGATGGATAGATGTCTAGTAACATGTCAGGATGCAACTGGTCAGAACACATGGACAAGCATATGATAATCATATTTTCCTTTAGTGATGGATGAAGCCTTTAACCACTATGCTTCTTGTTTGTTTCGTTATGTTAGTTATGATTCTGATGTTGATGGTTATTGCAGGGTTGGGTGATAATCCATGACAAAGCTGCTCTTGTCGAATCAGCAAGAGCTCTGACAACAGGGCTGAAGTGGGATGCGCGTGTGGTAGAAATCGAAAGCAACAGCGATGAGAAACTACTCATATGCCAAAAGCCTTTCTTCAAGAAACAAGCAAACTAATAAGGAGTTTCCAAAGGGAGCCTGAGATATGGTGGTATATCACTTCATTCATATTCATTTACTTATTTTAATCAATCATCATAAAGCTCTGCCGTTGAAAGGAGGGAATCAAAAATTTTGGACAGAAGAAACCAAAGAAAACATGGGAGAAAAGAAATCAAAATTCGGTCTTGTAAAAGCGACACAACTCCTGTGGAGCCGTAAGGCTGCCATAGGACATAGGTCATGTAATTATTATGGTATTGAGGTCCGGAGCAAGTGAGAGAGAAGTGTAGGATTAGATTTTTAATCTTCCATGTAATTTCTCATTGTAACTATACAACCACATGATTAAGATTGTGAAGATCATTACAGAATAAACAAATGCAGTCAGTTTCTTATAGTGTAAAAACATGCTTGGCAATGCATTTATGTCAAGCACCATCAAAAGTTGATTATATTTTGCATTTGCAAGATTACATGATCCATTTCAAATGTGAAGCTTGTAATTCGGCCTTTTCTTGGGAAACTAAGTTCGCAAGCATGCTTTGGATTTGTCCATGTGAAGCAGCAAATGGCCTTAGCTCTCGCCGCACAGAGGGTTGTTTTTTCTCTTCTGGGCTTATTCGAGACATACACCCATGAGCCACTCTTGGGCCAATTGGTTCACTGGCTCTCTCATAAAATTGCTCATAAAGTGTTAGTATTTAAATGTTACAAAAGAAAATTATGATTTCTTTTAGAAACACTAAAGATTGGATAAAGAGGCAAGGGCAAGGGACTTGTAGCTCAAGTGGTTAAGAGTGTTTATTCTTGTATCTGCATTATCGCTTGTTTTACAAAGATTGGATAAAAAGGGCCCCTATGTTGGTTAAAAAAAACTTCAAACAAATAGAGAAAATGGCAAATGGGAGAAATATTAGGCGGCAATGGAGGGCTTTGGTGGTGAAGCATGTGCACAAATAATTCATTTTTTTTGTACACATGTTAAATTATGATTGGCAAGTAAGTAGGAATGTGATTTATTCCATCTAAAATTTATTTCCCTCCATATTTTCTTTTCAAAAATCTAATTCTTAATTGGGTTAAATTATAGGCAAACCTAAAAATTGGAAAGAGAGTTTGAGAAATTGTTTAAGTATCAGGTCATTTTGCTGAAATTTAAATTTCACTTCAGTTTGGGCAGAGCACTGCAAATTCCATGGCTTGGTGGCG